CGTGGGAGGAGCTGTGGGGAAGGACACGTGGCCTCCCGGGTCCCCCACCCGCGTGGGAGGAGCTGTGGGGAGGGGCACGGGGCCTCCCGGGTCCCCCACCCGCGTGGGAGGAGCTGTGGGGAAGGACACGAGGCCTCCCGGGTCCCCCACCCGCGTGGGAGGAGCTGTGGGGAAGCACGGGGGGCCTCCCGGGTCCCCCACCCGCGTGAGAGGAGCTGTGGGGAAGGACACGAGGCCTCCCGGGTCCCCCACCCGCGTGGGAGGAGCTGTGGTCTGGTCTGACCGCCCAAGAGTGGCGGGTCCGGCAGGTCTGAGGTGACGCGTGTCCCTGCAGGTGGAGAACAAGGAGCTGAAGCAGCGGATCCTCGAGGAGCCTGTGAAGTACCCCGACAAGTTCAGCCAGGCCAGCAAGGACTTCTGCGAGGCGCTGCTGGAGAAGGACCCCGAGAAGCGCCTGGGGTTCCAGGACCAGACCTGCGACAGGCTCCGTGCCCACCCCCTCTTCAAGGACATTAACTGGAGGCAGCTGGAGGCCGGTACTGCTGGGCACCTCGGCCCCAGAGAGGGCAGGGGTCTGTGCTGTGTGGCCCTCAGGGGTCTGCCCGGTCCGGCCTGCGAGTCGGCAGGGAGGAGTGCCTGAGACCCCCGAGGCTTCCCCTCTGCCCCCGGCAAGGCCCCCAGTTTTCCACTCATCCTCCTAGCCGCAGGACCAGCCGATGGAGCTGGCATCGGGCTGGAGGGCTCTGGGTGCGATGGGAGGCAGGAAACACACTGGCTGCGCTGCAGCCTCAAGACCCAAACCTTCTGCCACGTGCCCAGTGCTGCAGGGAGCCCGTGATCACATGGAGGCTGGCGGCTCAGGCTGGTGGCCCAGGAGACAGTCACCCACCCACCAGCACGTGCTTGTCAAATTGATGTGCAAGATACTATGTGTGTGTGTGCATGTGTCATGCATGTGCATGCATGTGTGCGTGCATGTGTGTGTGCACATGTGCATGTATGTGTGTGGCTGTGTGCGGGTGTGAATGTGTGTGCATGCATGTATGTACATGTGCATGTGTGTGTGCATGTGTGCATGCGTGAATGCGTGTGCATGCATGCATGTGTGGATGTGTGTGCATGTCTGCATGTGTGTGTGTGCGTGCATGTGTGAGTGTGTGTCCATGTGTGCATGTATGGGTGTGTGCATGTGTGCACGTGTATGTGTGTGTGCGTGCACACGTGTCGGTGTTCGTGCACTAGTGTGTCTGAGACGCAGCCATGCCGTCTAGGACCCTGTGATCAGGTGGAAGGGGTAGGCCACATGCACAGTGTGACTGACTCAGGTGAGGTTAGGACCACGGTGAGTCGGGAGCGGGAGATACTCTGAAAGTGACGTTGCTTCCATACCTCAGGGCTGCAGCAGTGACTGCCAGACAGTGCCCCAGGCAGGCCCAGCGAGGCAACGATGGCTGTGGCCAGGGAACCCAAGGGGGCTCCAAGGGTTACAAGGCAAGGAGGGGCCAGGCCTGCCCCGTAAGGAAGTCTGAGCCACAGAAAGGTTTGAGCCCGGGGTGCTGAGGCTGAGGAGGAGCTGAGAGGAGGAACCACGTGGCAGCCGTGCAGCATTTCCCGGTGCAGGCAGACGGTGCTGAGGCTGCTGCAGAGGCTCTCTGGTGGCCAGCATGGGCCGGCCGGGTCTGGGTCAGTGCACAGAGAGGAGGGGCCCACCCGCCCACTGGGGATGTCTGTGACCCACTCTGCCTGACTGTCAGGGGCTGGGGGTGCGTCAGGGAGGGTTGCTGGTTTGGGAGGGAGCTGCCAACTTCACTGGAGCATGTGCTCGAGTGCCTGGTGTCTGGGGTCTTCAGAGTGGGCAGGGGAAGCCCCAGTGGGGATGGGGTTCCGGGGAAGGGGTGCTGGGGGAGGTGCTGGGAGACTGCTTCTTGACGAGGCTTTACGGGAGCCTCCCGAGGAGGCAAACGTGAGCACTGGCTCCTTTCACAAGAAGCCTCCAAAATGGGCCCTGGGACCTGGGGCTTCTTCCAGCCACTCGTGCCCCAACCACGTGGTCTCAGGGGAACCCAGGGCCTTCCAGGCACACCGGGTTTTCTCTGTCAGCTGCCGAGACACTTCCCCAAGGAAGAGCGGCCCCAGGCCTCTGTGCGTCTCGGAGCTGCAGGGGGAGGCTTTTTGGCTAAACGGTGCTTCCTTCCCCGCACGAGGTGCCTTTCATCTGTGTTTTTTGTCTCCCACAGGGATGCTGATACCCCCTTTCATCCCAGATTCCAAAACTGTCTACGCAAAGGATATTCAGGACGTGGGTGCCTTTTCCACCGTCAAAGGTGTGGCCTTTGACAAAACAGACACAGAATTCTTTCAGGAATTCGCCACTGGCAACTGCCCCATCCCCTGGCAGGAGGAGATGATTGAGACGGGCATCTTCGGCGAGCTGAATGTGTGGCGCTCGGACGGTCAGATGCCAGATGACATGAAGGGCATCTCCAGGGACTCCAGCTCCTCCTCCAAGTCAGGGATGTGTCTGGTTTCCTAGGCGATGCTCCAGAGCCCACGCGGAGGAAAAGGACCTGCAGGGCTCGGTGGGGGCCGCCTGCCTCTGTGGTGCCAGCCTGGGGTCTGCCAGCGAGGGGACACGCAGCTCCCTCCACCCAGGTCCCCATCATGCTGGCTCCTTGCGGCCCAAGGAGGAGAAAGCCTGAATCAACTTGCCAAGCCACCAGACGCCCGCCCTGGTGCTGTGAGCCCCTGACCGAATAGTCCACTCATTCTGCTCCATTTTACTAAGAAGACTTAAGATGCTCTCTGGAGGAAATAAGCCAAAAATCTGCAAACTCTTAGGGAGCCTCCAGCACTGGTGAACGAATGACCGTGTGAGCAGGACGGAGTCTTGGCTTGGGCCTCCTAAGACCTTCACCCTTGGCTTCCCGGAGGGAGCCATGTTCCTCAGAGGGAGGTGCGCTGTGGCCAGGTCAGGGGTTGGTGACCCCTGGCTGCAGCCCTGAGCCCCTCTGGGGAGGGGCAGACCTCGGCCTCCGCCAGGTCTCTCTGTGCAGGCTCCTGCTCCCCAGGGTGAGGAGCGCATCTTCTCACAGATCCCAAGTCGGCCGCACCCCAGGGTTAGGAGGACATCTTCCCACAGATGCCAGCAGAGCTCCAAGCGGGCTGGTTTTATGGAGACTTTCATGTGTCCTGTGGAGGTGCCTCATGCGCCTGGAGACTGTCCTTGGGAAGCAAACCTAGACTGCAGAATAAACCTCCTGGCCTCTGAGCGTCTGATATTTCTGAGACCTGGGGTGTTCGGGAGGAGCGATGGCGTGTCTGGTGCTTCTTGACCGAAATCTGCCCATCCGGGTGCACCTGAGCAGGTCCGGGGAGGCCTGTGGGAAGCTGCCTGCCGGGTGGATTTCCATGCCCACTCTTTCCCCTTCCTGTTTTATTTTCTTTTTTTATTTTGAGATGGAGTCTTGCTCTGTCACCCAGGCTGGAGGGCAGTGACGTGATATCAGCTCACTGCAACCTCTGCCTTCTAGATTCAAGCGATTCTCCTGCCTCAGCCTCCCGAGTAGCTGGGATTACGGGTGCCCCCACCATGCCCAGCTAATTTTTGTATTTTTAGTAGAGACAAGGTTTCACCATGTTGGCCAAGCAGGTCTTGAACTCCTGACCTCAGGTGATCCATCCGCCTCAGCCTCCCAAAGTGCTAGAATTACAGGCGTGAGCCACCACGCCCGGTCCTCCTGTTTCGTTTTCTAGAAGGTTACACATCGATTAGGTAATGGCTGTAAATCTCACTTCACTATATTCTGGAACATTAAGGACTCCGTTTCTGATTTTTTAAACCCATTTAATCTGCCTTGCATTCCCATGACCCTGGATGGGAGAGCAATCTCGTCCGGCATTACTGGGATCAGAGGACTTGGAGGGGCTGTGAACGGTCACAGCGGTGTAGGGTAGCCTGACCCCAGTGCCCAAGAGGAGCCCTGTGGCCCCCCCAGGTCCCCAGCAAGACCCTCTGCCTGTCTAAGGGCTGGTTGCCACACACGATGCAGGACATCCCGACAAATTTGAATTTCAGATAAATGAGGAATCATTTTTTAGCGTAAGTCTATCCCATGCAGTGTTTGGAACAGACTTGTTCTAGAAAATATTTATCATTTTTCTGAAATTCGGATTTAATGGGATGTTCCACAGTTTTCTGTTTGTTAACTGGCCAGGCTGTTTAGCTGATATATTTACCTGTAACATCAGCAGTGGTTCCACTGCACAGGCACACCTGTTGGGATAAAGCCACAGAAGCAGCTTCGTTTTTGGCTTCCGCCGTCTCTTGGGTCAGTCGAGCGGTGGTTTCACCCCTTGATGAAACTCACACTGGCCCCATGTATTCATACAAGGCATTCGAAAACCCTATTGTCACTTTATTTTGAAAAACTTCTAAAGCTTCGTGTCCCATGGAGAAAATACATCACGAATGCTGAGTGAATTATCCTGTAGGGACACGGGTGGTGGGAGGCGGCTGGGTTCCAGAGCTAGGAAACTGCCGGCCCCGCCCAGGGCCCCTGCCTGATGCTCCCCACCCAGGCAGCTGCACGCCTGCCCTGTGAGCAGCACCAGCCTCCCACGGGGCTCAGTGTGTGGGGCCTCATGACTTTCACAGTTCCAAACGCCACAAGCTTCAGTGCCTCCTTCCTGTGGGGCTGCAGTGTCTGATGGTAGAGGTGCATGTGTCTCATGCCCACCTGCCTGCAGGCCAGCCATGCGCTCTGTGGCCAGCCTCAGCCTCCGTGCACACACACACCAATGCACACAGTGATGCACACATGTGCACACGTACACACAGCAATGCACACACACCGATGCACACACAGTGATGCACACACATGCACACATACAGAGCAATGCACACACATGCCAATGAGCATATGTGCACACACACACCCATGCACACACAGCAATGCACACATATACACACATGCACACACACATGCACACAGTGATGCACACAAACACACAGCGATGCACACACACACCGATGCACACACATGCACATGTACACACAGCGATGCACACACACCGATGCACACACATGCACATGTACACACAGAGCAATGCACACACATGCACAGACACCAATGCACACACGTGCACACCCACACTGATGCACACAGACACGCATGTGGCATGCCTTCATTTTCATCTCCACATGGCTGGCAGATGTAAGCACTGTTGGCCAGGGCTGAGTCCCAGGTGTCTGCACTGGCTCACGTGTCCTCCTGGTTACAGTGAGCACCCGGCAGCTTCACCTGCTGCTCACGCTGGCTCAGGGCTGTCCTGTGGGACCTGCCTGCTTTCTTTTTTAGAAGAAGAAAAAAGAAAGAGAGAAAGAAAGAAAAAAATAGAATTAAAAAAAAAATGAAGGAGAGAGAGGAAGAGGAAGAGGGAGAGAGAACGGGAGTGTTGCTTTATTGCCCGGGCTAGAATGCAGTCTAAAAGTGGGTATGCCTATAATTGTGCTTAATAATAGACATGAAAAAAAAATGAGGGAAGAAAATAACTAACAAGCAGCCAACCAATATTTCATTTAAACCTGTAAATAGGTGTGATGTGGTACTGATAAGAGCGTATATTTTGTGTATTTAAAGTGGAGAGTTCTATAAATGTAAATTAAGTCTACTTGTTCTGGATCTGAGTTCAAACCCTGGATATCGTTGTTAATTTTCTGTCTCATTGATCTGTCTAATATTGATGTTGAAGTCTCCCACTATTATTGTGTGGGAGTCTAAGTCTCTTTATAAGTCTCATATATCTGGGTATTCCTGTATTGGGTGCCTATATATTTAGGATCTTTAGCTCTTCTTGTTACATTGATCCTTTTATCATTATGTAATATCCTTCTTTGCTTCTTTTGATCTTTGTTGCTTTAAAGTCTATTTTATCAGAGGCAAAAATTCCAACTCCTGCTTTTTATTTATTTATTTATTTTTGCTCTCCATTTGGTTGGTAAATCTTTCTCCATCCCTTTGTTTTGAGTCTTTGTGTATCCTTGCATGTGAGATGGGTCTGGATGTAGCATACTGATGGGTCTTGGCTTTTTTTGCCTGTCTGTGTCTTTGGATTGGGGGATTTAGTCAATTTAAATTTAGAATTAATAATAATATATGTGAGTTTGATATTACCATTTAATGTTAGCTGGCTGTTTTGCCCATTAGTTGATGCACGTTCTTAATTATGTTGATGTTCTTTATTTTTTGGTATTTTTTAGAAAGGCTGATACTGGTTGCTCCTTTCTATTTGTAGTGGTTCTTTCAGAAGCTCTTGTAAAGCAGGCCTGGTGGTGATGAAATCTCTGAGTACTTGCTTGTTCACAAAAGATTTTATTTTTCCTTCGCTTATGAAGCTTAGTTTGGCTGGATGTAAAATTCTGGGTTGAAAGTTCTTTTCTTTAAGGATGTTGAATATTGGCCCCCACTCTCTTCTGGCTTGTAGGATTTCTGCTGAGAGATCTGCTGTGAGTCTGATGGGCTTCCCTTTGTGGGTAACCTGACCTTTCTCTCTGGCTGCCCTCAGTATTTTCTCCTTCATTTCAACCCTGGTGAATCTGGCGATTATGTGCCTTGAGGTTGGTCTTCTTGAGGAATATCTTTGTGGTGTTCTCTGTATTACCTGGAGTTGAATATTGTCCTGCCTTGGCAGGTTGGGAAAGTTTTCCTGAATAATATCCTGAAGCGTATTTTCCAGCTTGGATTGATTCTCTTCGTCACATTCAGATGCACCTATCAAACGTAGATTAAGTCTTTTCACATAGTCCCATATTTCTTGGAGACTTTGCTCATTCATTTTTATCCTTTTTTCTCTAATCTTGTCTTCTCGTTTTATTTCATTAAGTTGGTCTTTGACCTCTGATATCTTTTCTTCTGTTTGATCAATTTGGCTGTTAAAACTTGTGCATACTTCGCGAAGTTCTCGTGTTTGCTTTTCAATTCCATTAATTCACTTATATTCCTCTCTAAATTGTGTATTCTTGTTAACATTTTGTCAAACCTTTTTTCAAAGTTCTTAGTTTCTTTGCATTGGGTTAGAACAAGTTCTTTTAATTCACTGAAGTTTCTTCTCATCCACCTTTTGAAGCCTGCTTCTGTTAATGGAACACACTCATTCTCCATCAGGCCTTGTTCCGTTGCTGATGAGGAACTGTGATCCACTGTAGAGGGAGAGGCGTTCTGATTTTGGGTATTCTCAGCCTTTTTAGGCTGGTTTCTTCCCTTTGTTATGGATTTATCCATCTGTGGTCTTTATAATTACCATCTTTATAATTGGGTTTCTGAGTGGACGTCCAACTTGTTGATTCCCAGCGCTAAATCTCAGCAACCCACTGCGCTGGCCAAAACAGCGGCGTTAAGATTGATGGTGCTTTTCTGACTCTGCAGCAAGAACCGCTGCACCAAGGCAGCAGCAAAACCGCCCCACTGGCCACAAGAGTCGCGCTGGTGACCCGTGGGGCTCCTCCGCTGGGAATCTCCTGGTGTGTGAGCAACAAAAATTTGTCTGAAAGTGTGGTGTCTTCTCGTTCTCTGCGCTTTCACTGGGAGCTACAATCCCGAGCTGCTAGCGATAGGCCATTTTGGATCTCTCTCTCTGGGAGAGAGATCTCTCTCTGCCTGCTTTCTATCTGCTTCTGGTTGCCTCCACTGGAGGAGAAACAGCTGGACCTGCATGCACCTCTCATGTCCCATGTGCGCTGTGGTGGTGCTGGGCACTCAGTCCACACCTGCCCGATTCAGGGGGCAAATATTTCCTCAAAGGCTTTGCCCTCAAATGACCCAACATTTGTCATAAATCA